AAATCAAATATTTCCTTACATTTGAATTGACCCTCTCTGCCTCTTTGTCAGTTGTCCTAACCGTGTACAAATGAGTCAACTTCTGTTTGCAGAGCCATTAATAAAATACAATTAATAAATCTTAGAATTTAACTTAAAATTCCAGTAGTATGATAGATACTAGGGAAGAAGTTCTCAACTCTCTTAGAATCACTAACTCTTTTAAAAAATATAATGAAAGGCACTGAACCTCTCACATGGCAGAAAATTGTACAATGCATTAATAATACAAAAACTCACATGCACTATACTGGATTCTCATACTGAGTGATATCAATCCGTATAATGGGGTATCATTTATTCAATAGCAAGGTACAGTTTAAGGAAAAAAACTCACACGATAGTGTTGATGCACGTGATTTACAAAATTTTAAATATGTCTAACAGATATCCCTATTCTTCAGTGAGGGAGAATCTGTTTCAAAGTTCTAGATTTGAAAAATGTAGTATATGCATCAAATGGTACATTATTCAGTTTTAAAAAAGAAGGAGATCCTGCCATTTGTGACAACATGGATGAACCTAGAGGACATTACACTAAGTGAAATAAGCCAGACACAGAAGTACAGATACTACATGATACTATTTATATGAGGAATCCAAAATAGTCAAACTCATAGAAACAGAGACAAGAATAGTGGTTACTAGGGGCTGGAGGGAGGAGGAAACTGAAATAGTCAAAGGGTACAAAGTTTTGTTTATACAAAATAAATAAGTCCTAGAGATGTACTGTATAGCATAGTTCCTATAGTTAACAATACTGTATTGTATGCTTAATCATTTGCTAAGAGGGTAGATCTTATGTTAAGTATGCTTATCACAAAATAATATATAATAATAAAAGAGATGTAGGAAATTTTTTGAGGTGATGGATAGGTTTATGGCATAAATCCTGGGGATGGTTTCATGGGTGTATGTGTATCTTTAAACTTATCAAGTTGTGCACATTAATTATGTACAGCTTTTTCTATGTCAGTCATATCACAATAAAGTGGTTTAAAAAATACAGTTCTTAGTTTGAGATATTGGCTTGCAGAAATGAAATGTTGGCTCAAGAGATGAGCATAGGCTCGTTCATTCTACTATTTCTGATCATTTGACTTGAATATGTTTTGTTACTGGTCTTAATACTGGATTTATTTTATTTTTGCATATTCGAGGCTAGAACTTTTCAAAGATATTCATCTTATATATATTAATAAGCGATTTATGTGAAAGTATGTGCACTTAAATACCCTGAGGCAGGGGCTAATTAATTTGCATTCATCACACCTACAACAAATAATTAGGGTTACTTTTGGAAATACAGTATCATGTATTCAAGTATTTGATAATAAAACAGCACGTGGTGTTCAACTTCCTTTGTAGAGGGGATGGAAAAGGGAGAATTTTAGCTATTCCTGGAAAAGGCTTTATGAATAAAGACGTCAGTATTTTTTTTAACACATAGAAACATTTAAAGGTAAGAATATGCTTGTAGAGGAACAGATCAGTTTTGCTGTACATCTTAAATTCCTATAGCATTCTTTACTTGTTTATAATATAGTAAAACATGTGCATAAAATGGTCCATCCAACAATAAAGCAAGACTGTCTCTAACTTTAAACAAAGTCCAAGTGATGAAGAGAAATCTAAAGGCATAAATTTTCTACATTGCCATGTTATATGAAAAAAATTAATTCTTACTTATAGAAAGGGATTAAATCTCAGATGAGAGTTTGTCAGTAGCTTTATTCTTGGAGGAATCACTGTGGAATGCTAAGGAGATATGTTTTGAAAGAGTTTAGTATCTGTGCTTCCATGGGCCTCCATTTTTAAAGGCTATTTTTCATAGAGTTGAGCTATTGATACTATTTTACCACTTGATATTTTTTTGACATTCATGCAGCAAATATTTCAGATGGGACGTTATATCTTGAGAGGGTAGATAGCTTAAAAAAGAGTATGCAATCCTCTTCTCTTCTTTTCCCAATAATCACAACTTGGCCTTTCATCTGACTTGAGACTCTTTATCCTTCTCTACAACGCAGTGGGAGGAGGCTTATTCTGGAATTAAGTAGGGCAAGATGCCATGTGATAGTAATAACTGCTTCTATCTCTCCTAATATGGAATTTTTAGATACTAGCTATTTGGTAAAGACAGATGTGTAATACATTTTCTGGATTTTATCTCCATTTTTTCTGCCAGTTAACGTATTATTTTTTCTTTAAAAGCTCTAAAAGTTTCATGTCAGTGAGCAGGAACAGAATATTTTACAGCAAATTTTCAAAGAGATTTTTTTTGCAAAGATGCACCCCTAGTGATGAAGTATTTGTGCCAGGAATGATAAGGGTAGTTTCCCTATTGTTCACACAGCAGGCTGTCATCTTTTTCTTCTTAATAGGGAAAGGTCTTATCCTCAGCAATGCTGCATGAGTCTTTCAGTTACTTGGCAACAATAATAAAAAAAGACACAAGCAGTGAAGGACCCATCATCAACATCATGACAAATACTAGTCCCTCAGCTGGTTTTAATGACCATATGGAGACATTAAATTCCTTGCTTTCAAGAATTAAACCCACTGCGTATGATCAGGTTGAACTCTGGTATGTCTGGCAATGTGACACATTTTAGCTGTTGTATGTGAATTAGCATGTGGAAAAAAGTGAATAAATATGAGGCATTCACCTGAATAAACAAGCAAAGCACCCCTAGAATGCACAAGAAAAACACAGATTTTTCTAATTTAAATATCATGATATGTGTGTATCATGATATCTGTTGCTAAGGAATTAATAAATAGAAATAAGTACTTGATTAAGGAATACTGCCATTGGGGTCGGCTCCGTGGCCGAGTGGTTAAGTTCGTGCGCTCCGCTGCGGCGGCCCAGGGTTTGGATCCTGGGCGCGGACATGGCACCGCTCCTCGGGCCATGTTGAGGCGGCATCCCACATCCCACAACTAGAAGGACCTGCAACTAAGATATACAACTGTGTACAGGGGGCACTTGGGGAGATAAAGCAGAAAAAGAAAAAAAAATAAAGATTGGCAACAGTTGTTAGCCCAGGTGCCAATCTTAAAAAAAAAAAAAAGAAATACTGCCATCAATAAAAGAACACTTAAAACCAATCAGGATGTATGGGAAACCCAACACAGGATACAAACACTAACAAATGAAACTACTTGTAATAAAAATATAATTATAACATAACCATACTGAAGGCAGGGGCAAAAGAACAAAATAACTTTGGAAAACAGTAAGGAGGATGCAGAGAGGGGCTGGTCAGCAGGTCAGGTTCCAGTTTGGACAGGAGGGCACACTGGGGAAGACCCAGGGGAGGGGAGCTGTAATGCAGGAAAGTGCTGGGACTGGACACATGGGCTGGGACCAGGCCAGAGTCAGCTCTCAAGGAACCCTGGGGCCAGGGGCAGGAGGATCCTAGGTAAATAAAACCCACAGACAATCCCCAAATTGTATTTGATTCTTGCTTTCACCTTCCTTCTTTAGGCCTGCTTTTAGTACTTTGGCCACAGGGTCCTTCTTACCACCCGAGAGCATCGTGGAATAGTGAGAAGGGAAATGAATTAATAGACACAAGGTCAGCCTCTGGCTGGGAGGAGTGGAACAGTGTGGGCTCTAGAGGAATTCAGACCAGGGCTCTCCTCCCAGCCTTGTCTCTAGCTGTGCGAACTCAGCACATTACCAAAATCTGTGAGCCTGGGATTCTTCATCAGTGAAGTGGGTTTGATAAGCCCTGTCTTCTAGAACTGTTGGAATGTGTATACTGTATGTAAAGCACCCGACACAAGGACTGGTGTCCATTGAGACTTTCAAGAATGGCAATTATTGCTGTGTTTACTTTGACCCCAGCTAATACCAACCCTCCTACTAAGATTTTTTATTTTTGGGTTGTTTTGTTGTTATTTTAATCCAGGAGATGTCTGAGAATGTGCAGTGCTGTAGGATACTGAACACGAAGTCAGCCAAAAATTCTGCTCAGCAGGAAAAAATACCTTAGGAAATCATCCCCCTTAAAGGATATATTATTTAATTTGAATGTTGGGGGAATCCTCCCTATCTAGATGCAATTCAAAGCTCTCCTAAAATGTGTGTCAAGAAGCAACTTCTTCCCTCCCTCCCAGCTACCCTTGGATACAAATCACCCCTATTTTCATTCATTTAACCCCTACCAAAATCAAACCCCCCATTAGTGTTTGCCAAGTTTTGCTCAAGATAACCTAGTTAAAATGCCCTTTTAATGGAGCAGGCTCTATTTCTCCCAGTCCAGGGCAAAGAGTGCCAGCACAAGGGCATCTTGACATCCCACCTCCAGGAAGTGTCACCTTTATTTCTCAGAAAGTCCCTGGCAATGATGTGGATAAAATACCTGGTTTGTGGATTGGGGTCACCTGCACTGGGACAAGAACAGAGGACCCCTTCCATCCCTGCCCCTGGTGGAGATTTCTCTCTCATTTATCCATGATCCCAAAGTAACTGCTAAAAGCAGTTCTCCACTGAAGGCTTAGTTTCTCAACTGTGAGACACACCACCCAAGGTTCTGGCCCCTGCTCACCACCCTCACACCCTCCTCTGACCCACCACCCATCTTAACTTAAAATTACCTCCCATTTAAGGACTCGAGGTTTCCCAAGGCCCCAAATTGAGTTGCCTCCAGACTTTTACGCTTGAATGTTCCCATCTGGCCCTCCCTCCCTCCACCATCTCATCCTCCTTTTCACCCGTCTTTGTGTTTTAGAGTGTATCTCACCATCTTTCTTATATGATAGCTGCTTTTAGACTATAATTCTATGAGCAGTGGCTTGATCTTCTTCTTACCATCCCCCATATTACCATGGAGCCTTCCGAAGAGCAGATGCTCAATTAATGTTTCAGGAATAAAAAAAAAAAAACCAGTAAGCAATTTATTATGATTTTGTAAATTTCTCCTACATACTTGAATAAACGAAGCAAGTTCAGGTATATAACTTTTATTTTATAGAACAGCTGAATGCAAGAAATAAGGGAAACCAAAAATTGGTCTTTCACTTTTTTCTCTATTTTTTGGTCCCAAATATGTTATTGCTAATTTCTTTCACGTTTCTAAGGAAATGCCTATTCCAATGCCATGTTTTCTTGTTCCAGATCACTAAATAAGATGGAAAGTTACTAAATTTATTTTATAAAATTGCAAAACTCTTACTCTTAAACCTCAGAAACAGCATTAAATATGTAACCAATATCATTCATACACTTAGATTCTGAAGTTCTTTAAACTTTTTTTAAAAGAAACATTTGAAAACTTTCAACAACAAAAGATGAATCTACTAGTTATTAATGTAATCCCTTCACCTAAGCCTTCACAATACTTCAAACACAAAGTGAGGAAGGTGCTTCAAATTTCACTACAGCTGGGACAAGCTGCCAAGATTGACCCCGGAAGGCACATTAGCCGTGGTACCAATACGAAGCAAAGATGCAAATCTGGCTCGGGCTCTCTCTTCCTCATCTCGCAAAGCTTCTTCATACCAGGCTGGGAAGGCACTAGGGACGGTATCATGAAGCTTGGCCAAAAATTCCAGGACTTTCATCTTGCTGGTTTCAGCATGGGCTCTTGGACCCCACAGGAATGCATAGCGTGGAGGATCGCTGTTGGGCACCTGCCGGTACTCCAGGTACCTTTCTTGCACGAAATCTTCAGTGATGAGCTTATTGGCATCCCCATAGATGTAGTGCTTCTTGTCAGCATATATCCCCATCACATTAAGTACTTCCCAGATATCCTCTTCCGCAGCACAGTTGGCCTTCATGAAGATCACACAGAGGATAGTCATCAGGAGGCCGGTTTTGGGCATGATCTTCTCACCCCTCAGCCTGTCATCAGAGGTGCGCTGCAATTTGCTGACAAGGACATAGCGGTGCCTAATAGGATCAACTTCCTTCACATCAATTCCAAAGGCCAGCACCATTAGCTCAGAAGCTTTCTTGAGGATCACATGGAAGTGTGCTTTGTGCTTTTTGATGACCTGCCTCATCATATCTTGTTTTGTTATGGGATCCCTCATGTTATACTTGCGCAGCAGGAATTCCACCAATAAAATTGCCTTCTGATCTAGAGGGGTTCTGTGAGGATCATCAGTGCTGGCTGATGCCTGGGAGGTGCTTGGTCTTTCCTCATCTTGGTTCTTGGCACCTTCATCAGACCTTGTGCATGAAACACCTGCAGAAGTATTGGTTGTGGGTGGGGCCCTCCGAGACCTCTGGGATTTGCTACCTGACCCAGCAGAAGGGGAGCTCTTGGGACTACCACCAAAAGAAGGAGAGGGGGAGGAAGGGGACCCTTCCTCTGCTTCAGTGGCCTGAGCATCCTGGAGACGCTGAGTCTCAATCTGGGCCTGACGGCGTTTCTCACGGGCACGGAGTTTACTCTTCTGCCCCCGAGGCATGATGACACTGGTCAGGGACAGCAGGCAGGAGTGTGGGCAGGAGGGCAGGCAATGAGGGCACCTGGAGGAGGGAAAATGAGATGGTGTGTGCACCTTCAGCAGGGAGATTCCACCTTGGTTTTGACCAAGGCTGCCTCTGCAGATTTCCTTAAGGACAGTGCTTTAGGACCCCACAGGGCTTGTTTTCTGATCAGCCTGTCCCCTGAGAACCCTGCAGAGGAAGTTAGAGTGTGCCTTAGGCTGAAGCCTGCCAGTCCTACCTGGGACAAGTTGGGGCTGAGAGCATGGGCTGGCAGGTCTAGGCTTTGTGGGGTCCCCTCTGTTCTGAGGTAAAGAATCCTCTCACTTCACATTTAAGATCATCCCGTAAAATGTTGGCAGGGCCAGGGCCTCCTCCCCTCTGCAGCTCTGAAGCTAAACTCCGTATACCAATGGCTTTACCTCCCTGAGCACCCCCAGGGAGAAATGAGGGAGAACCACAGCGCTGGCCACCCCTGTTGGGGCTTTCAGAGATGACAATAGGAGCAGAAATTTATGGGATCCCCTTTGTCCCGGCTGATTAGACTTTTCAGTCCCCACACATGTGGCCTCTGCCGGTAGATCAAGACCCGCACCTCCCGGAGTTGGACAGCCCTGCCCGGGGCCTCCCAGGGTAGACCGCAGGGGCAGAGGTCTGTGCAAAGTTGAAAGTACCCTCAGTACTTACTCAGGGTCCTCTCCTTGACTCCGAATAAAGGCCTGAGATTTCTCCGTCTGTTGATCTGAGTCCAGTGGACTCAGATCAACTTCTTCATTCCCAGAGACCTGGAGGCAGAATTGAGGGCTCGTTGCGCCTAACAGCCATGCCTCGGGCCTGTTAGCGCGAGGCGGGTCAGAGCGGGGTTCTGTGAGGTCTCCTTTGTTCTACGGGCGCGTGTTCTCACAGTTCTAACAAGGGGTTCTCATCTTGACTCTTACCATCGCCTCTCCCCTCTAAAGACCTGAGGCTGTCACCCTCAGGCCTGAGACCCTGGAGGTGGAAGTTGGTCAGTACCTAATACTGACAGCTCTACCCTGGGCTTCCCAGAAGTGAAAGCAGCAGTGGGGCTCCATGCGGGCCCCTCTGTTCTGGGATGAGTTGTCCCGTCCGTCCTCGGGGTGGGGGCAGGGAGTAGGGTGTCCTCCTCATGGCTGCTTGTTTAAAGGCTCCCTTGAGAAATACCAACTCTGAAAGCTCTGAGCTGTTTCTCTAATTTTTAACCCTCATTCATAGTAAGAAATATATTTATGTCTCTAACAAGTGTGTGTATTTTTTTCATGAAAGAATACCTACCCTTGTTTAGTATGATTCATTCTTTCCATTCCTTATATTTGATTATAATATTAGTGTTTTTGAAAGGCTGGTCCTCGCCCCCTAAAGACATTTCAGGTACTTATTAGGACAATCTCTGGACTCAGGTTGCCTCAACCAACCCAATCTTTGGTGCCATCCTGATATTATCCCACGGTCCTGGCACGCAGGCTCTGAGAAGCTGCCTCAGGTTCCTTCAGTGAAGCAGCAGAAATTCATTGTGTCAGGAGACACTAGAAGAAACAAGGGCTGAACTTTAAATCTTTCCTCCAACCACTCCTGTCATCTGCCTCTCTTGCAGGCTACAGACCAGTCTCAGCTTCAGGTTATGCCCCCACCTGCCCAAACACAGGTTCTAGTTCAACAGATTTAGTCTCTCCCAAAGGTTTCCCATTTATGTTGTTTTGCTTTTGCTGATATTTTTCTTTCATTCTCCCTTTGATAGTTTCTCCAGTTGATTTCAGGCAACAGTGGCCCAAGTCTGGGAGCCGTCTTTGAAGCTACATGCAAGGCTGTGTATTAGCGTGCTTGGGCAGCCATAACAAAAAACCATAGACTGGATGTCTTAACAACAGAAATTTATTTTCTCACATTTCTAGAGGCTAGTAGTTCCAGATCTAGGTGCCAGAAGATTCTGTTTCTGGTAAGAGCTCTCTTCTTGGCTTTTCATATGGGCATCTTCTTGCTGTGTCCTCACATGGACTCTTCTTTGTAAATGCACAGAGAAAAAGAGAGTGGTCTTTGGTGTCTCTTCCTCTTATGTAAGGACATCAGCACTACTGGATTAAGGCCCCACCCATATGACCTCATTTAGCCTTAATAACCTCCCTAAAGACTCTGTCTCCAAATACAGTCACATTGGGGATTAGCTACATTCTTACAGTTGCCACCAAAAAGATGGAATATATTCTTGTTGGATTTCTTTTTAGGTAAATTTTGAATATTGCTGCTCTTGTTAGTGGGCTATTTTCTATTAATTATCCTAATTGGTTATTGATTTTTTTGTGGCTAAGGTCCTGATTTTGGTATAGTAACATTCTATAAACAGCTTTTGGAGTCTCTTATTCATTTGAGTATTTCGTGCACTGGTCCCTTTGGATTTTCTAATTAGAGGATCATATTGTCACCATTTATTATCTCTGTCTTTTCAATATTAGTTCCTCTTATTTAATTTGATACTATTATTCTTCTAATTATGTATTCCAGTCCACTTTTCAACCGTAGGTACAGTGCCATAACATCTGTTTCTTTGTCCTGACTTTAATGGGACTGCTTCTGACATTTCACATTTATGCAAGATTTCTGTAGATTTAAAGAAATGGAAATTCTCTTCAAATGTTATTTTGCTAAAAGTTTTTGTGATTAATTAGTGTTAAATATTTTTTCAAAGGCCTTTACTGCACCCTTGCACATGATCAAATGCATTTTTGTCCTCTAATCTATTAAAGTAGAGAAATTCCAATTGATAGTTTTTTCTAATGTTATAATATCTTTGCATTTCTCGAACTCAGCCTATTTATTCACTGCCTATATTAGACATGCTATGAATTTATTTAGGATAGATGCCTCTACATGAGTGAGCTTGGCTCAAGCGATTTTTTCTTGGGATCTCCTTATCTGGTCTTTGTATCAAGATCAGAACACCTGTTAAAATGAGTTTACTAATTTTCCATCTTTTTGTATGGCTTAGAAGAGTTTATGTAAGATGGCAGTTAGTTTTTCCTTACTCATTTGGTGCAGCTGGATTCCAAATCTGGCTTGTCCTGGAATATTTTGAGGGGAGGTGGAAAATAGGCTAGAGTTAGTATTGTTTGACTGAAGTTTTCTATTTCTTTTTGGAACAACTTGAGCAATTATGTTTCTCCAGAAACCATTTAAACAGTCCATTTAACTTGGAATTTAAAATTTAAAGACATGATATATTTTCTTTATTATAGTAAAGAAAACCCACACATATAACATTCGAGCTATTCTTTTAACACAATTTTAGGTATGTGTAATTCCACTTCTGGATATATATTTATCCAAAAGGATCGAAATCAGAATCTTGAAGAGGTATTTGCACTCCCTATGTTTATTGCCACATTATTCACAATACCCAAGATGTGGAAGCAACCTAAATGTTTATTAACGGATGAATGGATAAAGAAAATGTGGTATAAAGACATTTATAATAAACATTTTCACTAGAGAAATTATCAAGGATATACAACAGTACAGAGAATATAATGAACCTAATATACCCGACAGAGGTAAAAGTTTGATCAGATTAACATTTGTTGGTTTTTGCTTCTTTATTTGCAAGACCTCTTCAGAGGTGACACTGTGCACTTCCATTAGGAGGAACATAATGTGTGTATGTTTCTGTTTGTGGTGATGTTGGCAGTTATTGATGATCATTACCTTTATCCATTAATCTATTAGAGGCTACAGGATGGTAATTGTCTAATTCTATCATTCCTTGTGAGTTAAGCATCTGAAATACTTCCACATCATCTGAAGAACCTTCCCTTCTTCGTCCAACATATGGTTTACCTTGAGGTATAATAAAACATATTTATGGTCTTCTCATATTAAATCTCTTCTGCACCTAAATTTTGGACAATTTTATTTAACATCACATATTTATAGTTCTTTTTTGTAATTGACAATACTTATAATAATTGTATATTCTGTAATTTTTTTTGAAGAACTGGCTTTGGTTAGTTAGCTTTACTGTTTTCCTTATTTCTGCATTTATCCTCATTATTTCCTACCTTCTACTTTTTAGGTTTATTATGCTATTCATTTTTTACCTTCTTGAATTGCTTAGATGTCATAAATATTTTTTGTTTCCTAATGGATCTGCTCAAGGCTATAATCATCGCTCTTAATACCACTTGGACTATATCTCACAGATAGCGTTAAAATGTTTTATGTGTACTCTTAGAAATGTTGCAGCTTGAGTATATTTCTCTGTACCATGTGCTAGAAAAATAAATAAAATTGAACACATGAAACAGTCAAGGGTTGCCCAGAGACACAGAAAATTCTCTATATATTTAACCCAGAAAGAAGTTAATGCAATATATTGGTTACTCAATGGATGAACATCCACACAGGGAAGGGACAGGAAATCTAATACTTAGCAACTTGATGATGTCACTCCCACCTTCAGGTTCCAGGAGCCCAGGAGTTGGTTTCAACAGGATCTAGAACCATGGTGAGCCAATATGATGGAGGCTAGAGCCAAGGAGAAGATGTAACCATTGAAGGGGAAGCCACCTGAGGCAGAGAGAGAGAAAGAGAAAAATTATGGTTGCTCCTGTCCTTCTGGGTTAAAACCTTCTGTTAATGCCTCCTTTTGTCTAAAATGAGACGGTAGCCAAATGTTGGAGAGGCTAGGATTTACAGATTCAGTCCACGTATACTAGAGAATGGAGCAGGGAAAGGGTGATGAACAGTTCTGAGGGCAAAGAGATCTAGGATTAACATATCACATTGACATTAACAAATTAAATGGGGAAAGTAAAATTGAAATTGACATAGGAAATATTTTATAAAAATCAGCGTTCATTCATGATAAAGAAGATATGTTGTCAGATTAGATACAGGGTATTTACCAAAAACAAAACAGAACAAAACAAAACAAAAAACCCAAACAGAAAATGACATGCATAATATGGAAATGTTAAGAGATTTCACTTGAAAACTGAGAAGTAGACAAGGATACCTGCTGTCACCATTTCTCTTGAACATTTTAATAAAAATTTTACATAGTACAGTAATGAGAATCATAAGAAATGAAAGGGATCATAAGAAATCAAAGGGAAAATACAAAGTACAGCTTTTATAATTAGCAGGTGATTAGACTCTGTATAAAGAAAGTCCAAATGAACTAAAGATAAGACATTCCATCACCTAAGAGAGTTTTTCACTACAAGAAATGTTAAAGTCAATCAGGCTGAAACCAAAGAACACTAAACAGTAACTAGAAGCCATATGAAAAAATAAAGATCAGCAGTAAACATAGGTAAATATAAAAGCCAGTGTTATTGTATTTTTGGTATGTAATTACTTTTTTATTCCCTATATAATTTAAAAGACAAGTGCATAAAATAGTGATTATAAACCTTTCTTAATGGGCACACAAGTATAAAGATGTAATTTTTAGAAAATAAAATTACAAACCAACATCCCTTATGAATATAGATGCAGAAATCCTCAACAAAATGATAGTAAATGGAAACAAACAGCACATAAAAGGATTATATACAATGACTAAGCGGGATGTATCCTGGGACTGCAAGGCTAATTCAACATAAGAAAATCAGTCAATGTAATATATCACGTTATAAGAACGAAGGAAAAAAAACTATGATCATCCTAGTAGATGCAGAAAAAGCATTTGACAAAATTTAACACCCATTCATGATAAAAAAAACTCAGCAAACTAAGAATATAAAGGAACTTCCTTAACATGATAAAGGGAATTTGTGAAAACTCGTAGCTAACATCTCACTCAATGGTGAAAGAATGAAAGATTCACCCCTAAACTCAGGAA